CCGGTTTCGTATGGGTCCTACACAAAATTTTTTTTTATCCTGAGACTTACTTGGGATGATGTTGCATAGCAAATCGGGGGATATTTTCGTTTTTAACTGTTCAAGCGAGCGAGTGACCCTGCTCGGTATCGAGGTGCACTTATGTTATTTTAGATAAATGTATACGTAATTGATATGTATATATATATATATATATATGAATTTGTGCGGTATTGAACGGTTTAATTTGGCGAAAATATGTGGATAAAAGTGTGCGGCTATGGCCACCGGACATCACAATGAAGACAATTGCTTCAGTATCACTACCTTAAAACTAGTATACGCGAACTCATGGAACTTTATGACACTGAGACGATGACTTTAACTTAGACTGAAACATAACCGAATTTATGAAAACACTGAATATTGAGCGTTATTTTTGGCCGTTTTATTTTTTTATATTTTTTTTTGCGTACGATGATAACAACGGCCGGCCATATTGGCCGGTCACCCACGGAGACAAAACGTTTCCGAAGAACGATACTGCAACAGAGCTAACGACAGTAGCGTCTAAATACAGTATTTAACCGTGATGATTCTGCGCATGCGGGAATTGTTATCATTAATATTTCGGTGCGTGTGCAGCGTGTGATAGCACTACAACCCAATACACGCTTTTTCTAACTCATGTCTCAGATTTCAGAACAAGATAAAAGAGTACAAAAAATGAAAAAAGTACCGAACTACGAACAGGAAATTACAGGTCCCGCTCAAATGTTTGATTACAGTTAGAAAAACTTAAGTCTTACCGCCCCTTACATGTAAATTCTACACCAAATATTTATTTTTATATAAAAAATACTAAAATAGATTTAATTCTGAAATCTTATAGTGTTCTAGTTAAAATAATTGACTCTACGTATACATCGAGTATATCACTATCGAGATTATCTAAGAGTTTGTGTGGAGTAATAGAAGATTTTAATGTAGGAGAGGGTGTGCATCGGGGGTCGACTCTAAGCCCTTATTTGATAAATCTCTAGGGTAATGGATGAATTTACGATAGGCACACAGAGCAAGGTACCATGGTGTATGATGTGTTTGCTGATAATATAGTTTAGATAGAAGGTAAAATCAAGTAGAAGTTAATAATAAGTTGAATGAGTGGAGGTTGGCTCTTAAAGAAGGATTGGAAATTAATAGAAATAAAACAGAGTATATCAAGATGCAGGGACGGCGTGAGGGTAAGGCGACTCAGGTGATCGCCTAAGGCGTCATTCTCAAGGGGGCGCCGAAATTTCTTTTTAGAACTGTACACATTTTTTTTCATTTATTGTTTTTGAAAATATAAAATACTCATACCTATATTTATTCATTTTATGTTTATTTTTACCATTTTCTATTATACACTCCATCTCCATTTATTATTAATCTACAACCATTTCTGCATTCTTTATTTTTATTAATATTATGTAAGTATTTATATGTGCCTATTATATTATATTTCGTCGTGATATGTTTTTTTTTTTAAATTAGATGATAACAAATAATGTACAAGTTGTGCACAACATATTATTTTTCTGTGTTTCTGTCTACAAATAAAAAATTGTTCTCAGTTTTATGATATTATAGGTTGTTGTATGAAAAAAGGCGCCAGTTGACATTTTGGCCTGGGGTGTCATTTAGCCTTGCGCCGGCTCTGAAAAGATGAGAGAAAATAGACTTAGAAGGTTTGGGAATGTGATGAGACGAGAGGAAACAAAATCAATGAGAGTCGTTATGAAAATTAACGTTGAAGGGAAAAGAGGTAGAGGAAGAAAAAAAAGAAATGGTTGGATACGGTTGAAAATCATATGAGAGCCGTTGGTGTGTGCGTAGGGGATGTAGAAAATCGAAATGAGTGGAGGTTTAAGACAAGGGTGATCGTTAATCTGGGAACTATGTTCAAGTATTTTGTTCAAAAATATTTAAAATACGTATTTGAGTACCTACTTAAAAATTATACGAATACTTTTATCCAAATACTTTTACTCAAGTTTTACTTAGTCTTATTAGACTGAGTACAGAGTTCATTTACAAAACGTTAATATAAATTTTAGTGTATTATATTTAACATTATCCACTATTGACTAATATTAAAATGATCCGAGTTCATATTTTATTTTTATAAACGAAAAAATACACAAAATGTTAAAAATGCAGTTTGCGTTGACATCACTAGGCTAATGTTGAAGAAATCCAATTGTCATTATTATTTGTATCATTGTATATCATATCTCTTAAAAATCTCGTGTCACAGTGTTTGTGACCATATTCCTCCAAAACGGCTGAACCGATTTTAATGAAATTTTGTAAATACATTTGGTAGGTCTGCGAATAGATTTTTATCTATTTTTTATACTTCTAAGTGCTATTGTTTAATAAATCGTAGTTTAATTTAATAATTTTTAACCCGGCGATAACTGCGCAATTGAAAATGAATTATTAAATGATACTATTAAAAAACTATTAAAAACTATTTAAAAGCTATTAATTTTATTTTTGGTATTAAATGATGGGTATTACATAAATATTAAACAACAAGATCCCGCAACAGGTGCCAAAACAAACAAGAATGTTAATTCGGATTATTATGCATATCGGTTGATGATTAGATGCGATTAGGACAACGCTATTCTACGATGTCGTGAGCTTTGTCAACAATTTATGTTCGACATGTATGTAAATATAGGGAGTGAACGATTTCAATACTTGCGATTCAATCAAAAAAAGCTGCGTGTGGTAGAGTCTCAAAACAATTGTTAGATATCAGTTATGGGAAAGTTACTACTGATTAAACGGGATGCATACAATTACCGACCGATTTCTACACAATCATTGATTCGCAAAATGCTCTCATTAACCAGATATTTCCCAATGTACACAGATAATACACAAATCATGAGTGGCTGGCAGAAAGAGCAATTTTAGTAGCAAAAAATGTGGACGTCAACGAATTGAATCTTAAGATACAACATTTGTTACCAGGATATTTGATGTCATACAAATCTATTGATAAAGTTTGCGATGTTAGTGAAGCTGTAAATTATCCAACAGTTTTTAAACTCATTAAATTTACCAGGCATGCCGCAGCATAATTTACAACTGAAGGTTGGATCTCCGGTTATTTTGCTTCGTCATTTAAACCCACCATGGTTGTGCAACGGCACGCGATTAGTCATTAAAAAATTAATGAAAAATGTTATCGAAACCATCATTTTAAATGGCAAATTCTGAGGTGAAAATATATTATTACCGCGAATACCTATTATAGCCACAGACGTGCCAATACAATTTAAACGCCTTCAATTTCTAATTAGATTGTTATTTGCAATGACTATCAATAAGTCTTAAGGCCAAATGATGTCTGTCTGCGGCTTTGATTTGAGCATATCATGTTTTTCACACGTACAATTATACGTGGCGTGCTTTCGAACTATCCAGTTTGTGTTGGCGTAAGATGGGATAACAAAAAATATTGTACACTCTGTCGCATTAAGGGATTGATATTGTTTTTTACTAATATTATCATAATTAGCGATATATATAATTTTAAAGCATCAATTTTAATAAATTATTAAAAAATAAATGTTTGATGTTTTTTCATTTTTATATTTCGTTACTGTTCACAGCATTCCATACGCAACGATTTAACGATAGTATTCAGTTACGCTATGTATAATGAATCATTGATTGCTATTGAGGATCTTTGCATTATCATTGCTACACAGTCATTTCGGTATGTATTTATCAAATCGAAATGCATCTAATTTAATAAACACTGAATTTAATCGTGAACTACAATACAATATGGTGGAAATGGCAGCAATTGTTGCTCGCAACGACTCACTTATGAATAAAGAACAAAGAACCGTTTACGACCGCATCATGCTTAAAGTTTCGACAGGACAAGATGGATTCTTTTTTTTTGGATGCACCAGGTTGAACTGGCAAAACATTCCTTATTTCTACCATTCTCGCTGAAATACGGTCAAATAATGACATCGCATTGGCTGTTGCATATTGATATTGTTTTTTACTATTATTGTCATAATTAGCGATATATATATATAATTTTAAAGGATAAATTTTAATAAATTATTAAAAAACTAAATGTTTGATTTTTATATTCCGTCATCGTTCACAGCCCTCCATACCTCTTCCTTCATACCACATCCTTACACACTTATATTAAATTAAATTTTTTTTTTCTAGCGAAATATTCTCTAGAAATAATTTATATAACAAAACAACGTTTGTCGGGTCAGCTAGTATATATATATGCATGGGTGCCCGGAGGGGGGGCAAAAGGGGCATTTGCCCCCCTGCAATTCAATAGAATGTTGAATATTTTAACTTTTATTTTGATTTATCAACATTTTATAGATATTTTTACTTTAATATGTGCCGTGTGGTGTTGTTGATCATAATAACAATATAGTATAAGGTGTACCTACAAAATAATGCCTATTACATTAATTGCGCAAAATTAAATACGTTTCAATTCTGTGAATTGATATTAATCGCCTATTGTGTAAACTACTTATGACGATCGACGCACCACGCTTCAGTTTTTATTTAACTAATTTTTTAGGTTGTAAGGAATATATTTTTAATGTTCTTTTTTGTGTTGGATTTCATATAATTCTAACACAATTTGTAGTTTACAAGGAATAAACTTTTTTTAATGTATTTTTTTTTGTGTTTGATTTCATTATGCCCCCCCCCCCCTTGATAAATTTCTTGCGGGCGCCCATGTATATATGTATTTAAGTAGTTGGCCACAATAAATAAAATTAAACAATTTTATAGTTCGTTGATCGGTAATTTTGTTGACATGTCGAATGTTTGATTGTTGTTGATTTAAAGACGTTTGAATTATATGACTTGTACGAATATTATATAAAGCTCTAACGAGATTTTTATAATATTCTTAATCGTTCAATAGTTATTTACTGTTTTGTGCTCTTTCGTTTAACGCGATGGATTTTGGTACCATGTCTTGCGAAGAATCTGCCGCCGCGAAATCGTTGATGAGAAACATGGCTAATTATTGCATGAACGCGATGAGAAAGCGCACGATTGACGAACAGCTTGGTGATTTATCGGCGATTATGGGATGTCCGTTGGACCTGAAAATCGTGTACAATCGGACCGCGTTGCAAGTCAGTTACTGTGTTGGCTCGCTGAGTGCTTCGGTCACCGGTGCAGACGAATCGGTACGTACACGTAAACAGCGTTGTACAGCGACCACCGAAACCGCTTAACATCGGTTGTTTTACGTACTACGCAGTCCGTTTTTTTTTTGTTCGATTTAATAAACCGTTGTCTCCCTAGACGTGCGTTCGCCGATGCAAAAGGGACTTATTGCACAAGCTTAAAGTATTTTGCGCCTACACCAACGACGGTGCACGGACATCGTCATCAGATTGGCAGGCTCGAAGCGACAACAGCCCCGAATCGAGTAGCGAGACGAAAGACGTTTACTCCGAGGTCGGTAAAATGATTTAAGATACATTATAAGTAAAGTGACCGTACGTCCCGTTTCGAACAGGATAATCCCGTTTTTTGTATCTTCGTCCCGTTGTCCCCTTTGGAATCTTCGGAACACTAAAATGTCTTATTTTTAGAAAGAAGTAAAAAATCGCTAATCATTTTTCATAGTAATCGCTTTTTCTTAAATAAAAAAGAAAATTGTTCATAATAAAAATTAGCTACTTGTTAATGAGTTTAATTAATTCACGATTATGAAGATTTTTTTTTCGTACCGTTTCGACTAGAAAAATATATGATCACCTTAGTTATATGATATGTCACATCTGTCATCCACTGTTAACCGTTGACTATTGGTCGTTTCGAACCTGATTGCACAGGTCGAATTGTCCAAAGAGCGAGTGACTGGAAAAACTGCGAGGAAAGCGTTCGACCAAAACATTGTACTGGTCGACCCAGAGATGGATATCTCAAGCGAGATGTGCGAGTTCATGGACATTAATGAATCGCCGCTGGTGCTCACAGTCAGTTATTTACCAGCAGAATGGAACATGATCTTGGAATGCGGACTGTACAGTGCTTCGATCAACGGTTCCGTAAAGTCGGTATGTGACTCGAATGTTTATCTTAATCGTAAACATGCTACGGTTTTAAGTTTTACAATAATTCAATCGTATTCACTTGTAGACGTGCATGCGGCAGAGCAAAATGCTATTGTTACACGAATTGAACGCGTTCGTCACCGACGAAAACATAGTCAACAGAGAAGCCGTGAACTCGGACGATACTCCCCTAACTGTAATCGCCAATGAGGTTAGTCGAATGGATGTGGTTTTTATTGAACGTTTGATTGCGATACTCGAGTGTTATAAATATATACTATGCAGGATGACAACACACAAGAAGATAAGCTGCGAAAGCTTAGCGACTGCGAAAAACCTCTCGGAAACGTGTCAAACGAGTCGGTATCGACGGTAAGACCCCGGGAAGTTTCGGACGAATCGGTAGTTTCTGTGAAGGAATCGGATCGCAAAACTTTCAATTCATATGATGAATCGGGGAATGATAGGATCAAGGTTCACGAGGTGTTTGGTTCGGTTTATAATGTATGTGTTTTGAACACGTAAATATGTTGAAAAAAAATTTGTACCGAATCCCTAAAATATTATAATTCTATAATAACGAATAAAATAGCGGAAGAATGAAATTGCTCGAAATGGGTCAATTAGTAGTGAAAATCAACGATGGGACCCGCCAAGTCGAAATAATATAAACGTACCGGCCGTAGAGCCAGTTATTCAACCTCAGGAAATCACTAACAGCACACCAGTTTCCACGGAGTTACCCGTTACCAGGTCCAATGACCAGTCAAGGATATCTAGCAATATCCTCGAACCGTACAAGGTAATTAGAAACCGCTACGAATAGTGGCATGCAAAAATGCAAAAAATACTATAGTAAATTACTATGCAATCACGAGCGTATAGTAGTAGAAATAAAAAAAATAAATAAAGTCGCATCGCGATGATTGTGAATCGATACAGCGCTTTTATTGTACTCGCAATTATGTGTCGGAAGTAATATTTAAAAAACGACTTTTTTGCTTTAGTTGCGGAAATACGTCAGCAGAGCGTCCGAGGTTTTGAAAAATGTGACGTGTGACACGTTTCAGGAAAACGCCATACGGTTTTTTGATATACTCGTTCAAACGAATCGCGCTGACCGACTTCACTTGAAGATGATCACGGATTGCTTAGTGTCAAATGTACAGTAGCAATCGGGAACATGTTTACCGTATAATCATGTTTAAATTATATAATACTACCGTTCCTTTTGCAGGCAATTGACAAGCCCGACAATTGCGCCTTATACGCGTCGCTGTGTTGCCACGCGATCAAAAAAGCTTTTGCGGACTCCAGGAGAACCGTTAGTCAAGGGTTATCGAACGCATTCAAAATCGAGTTGATACAATCCTGCAGAAACGTGTTGACTGAAGGCGGAGTGTTGTCCCGGGTGGGAACATCTCGACAATCCCAGGACCCTGAGCGATCGGAACAGATGTTCGATATAAAAGTTCGGGACCGTACGCAAGGAACGTGCAGGTAAACACTACCGGGTTGGAAGCTTTTATATTAAGTAACGGATTTAAATATTCTAAAGAATAGGAATCATTTTTAAAAAAAAAAATAATAAAATACGATTAATTGACCACGTGACGATTCAAACGCAAATAAAGAATGCGATAACTAAGAGAAATTTTAAGAAATTGTTATCAAACTTATTCATTCTTAAAACAAGTATGAAAAAAGGCCTGAAAAAAAAATGCACTCAAATTCAAAACTGTTCCGAAAATGCAAAATAAATGTTTTAGTTTTTTAATTTACCGACGTTTAAAACGAACCTTGCGACGTTTGGAAAAAACCCCATTTTCATTTTCAAGTCTCTACTATTATAGCGATATATGGACATTTTCTAATCGCTGTACGCAACGTGTTCCGCAGGCTTATGGGTGAGCTATTCATGCAAGGCCAAATGTTCAAAACCGTAATGAACACTATTGATACGTTCATGCAAATACACGACGCGCATTCGTTGGAATGTCTCTGCGTTTTGTTGATCATAATCGGACCAAAGCTCGAAAAAGTAATATGAACTATAACATAATCCATTGAAAGTGTCTCAGTACCTGTACTGTTTGTATTGTACTGATCGTTTCATGCTAAACGTATTTGAGTTGTTCTTGTATAGATCATCGATGCTCCAAGACTAGTGTACGAACAACTCAAGAGCTACTCGATCGCCGGGTACGCGGGTGACATTCCTTTGACTCCGCAAACAGTACAAATGATCGACATTGTTCTGAATGTGCGGATGAGTTACATGAATGGTTCAAATTCGCGGCGAGGTGATTTCGCTGAAGGAAAGACCAGGAAGCCCGGCAACCGCCATCGTCGGGATGTGCAGTCGAAGGATCGCCGTGCGAATCACATCTCCGGCGAAATTTCGCAATACAGCCGAAACCCGCCATCCTGTACTACTGCGACGTCTGCACAGCGCCACAGGAAACACGTAACGTTTAACCCCGTGACGTCTATATTCTTTTATCGTAATCATTAATAGTAAACTATATTCATCTCTCTTCTCGTCCTCCACCTCATAGATAAGTATAATATACGATTGCAAATAATTATTACTCAAACAAGTAAATTAATATATTGGAACATTATGCCAATGTATTATATAATTACAGCGTGTTCAAGTTTTGGTATCAAATGTTACAAACATTTCAACGAATCGTATTCAAAAACCGATTTATTGGCTTCATAATTAAGAGAACGTCACACCCGCTATGTTGTCTCTGTCTGACATACGTACAACATAGCAAATTTGAGTTCAGTGATTCAAATGTAGTGAAGTTAACTTTCACATTAGAGTAAACTGACCTATAATTAATCTTTAAGGGAAAAACATTATCTGTGTTTTGTTGGTCAGTTTTTTCTGATATTTTAATTTTTAAGCGTGTTATGAATATGTAAAATATAACATTTAAAAAAAAATCATAACTTGCTAAAAAATTAAAATATCGGAAAAACCGATCAACAAAACACAGATAATGTTCTTTCCTTAAGTTTTGATCATCATATGTTCACTCTAATATTAAAGCTAACTTTACTACATTTGAATCACTAAACGCAAATTTGCTATGTTGTACGTATATCAGACAGAGACAACACATGCGGGTGTGACATCCTCTTAAGGCAAATGTAAGTTTATGAGAGAAACTATGCTTACATCATAACTTGTATACACTGTAATTTTATAAAAATTTAAAATTCAAAGTCATTTTCTCGGAATGTGTTGAAAATTTATTTTGATACAATTAAGCTTGTCTAAGCACAATATTTACAAAACAATCATTTGTATTCATATTAACATTATTACTTATATTATAGTTAGTTTCTGTTTACCTTTATAACATCTATAATTTAATATACTGTCTATATTCCCTAATATGTTGATCATATTTACTACGGATGTCAACGGAGACGATAATGAACAATATCAGGACGAACATTTACGGACAAAATGTCAAACAAATTATCGGGAACGGTCAACGCAACTCTTCGAGTAACCCCTTACACTAGAAAACAACTGGTTTGGAAAAGGTCAATTGATAGCACAGAATTGGTTATCGTCGGAAGTGCTGAGATGCGGAAGAGAGTATACTACTTCGAAAAATCCTGAATCACCTGTCACTCATTGTTCTTTTTTGCATAATACATACATTAAAGGAGGTATTAGAAATAGGTATTTAGTAATATTGTAATATTTAAAAATTATTTAACTCATAAATAAAAAAAAAATGTGCACAGAAATAAAATTAATTTTTTTATTAATTTATTTAACGGCTGTAAGCAAGCAATGGTGTACAAAGATTTATTTATTATGTAGATTAACTAAAGATTATATAATATAACAGTTAAAAATAATTTTCTCCGACAACAAACCAATGTTAAAATCCAGTGGGACTAAGAAATTATGTAGACCAACGTGGGATGAATATTTTTGAGTATGAAAACGTAATTTTATTTTAATTCAATCGCATATAATGATTTTAATTGAAACACTACTGTAAAACTTAGTATATAATACGAAAATGAAGTAGGTACTTGTAAAAAAACTATAAATAGGACGTTCAAAATACTTTCTACAGAATTGAAATAAAATTAAAATAAAATCTTATATTTTGAAGTCTTAAAAATAAACTTAATTAACTTAATTATTAAAGGAAACATAAACAATAACAATAATGAGAAATTCAACGTATTTCAGCTTTTCCACATTACTTTTAGGCATACTACTAATAATATATAGCCATTTCAACATCAATGAGGAATAAAAATAGTACCGTTAACGTTACTTCTCCTGGGGGTTCGGATGGGGGAATCTTGCACAGAGAAGTAGCCTCATGGGGGGACATCGCTGTGCAGGCAAGGGAGCACAGAGGGGTCGAAAAGCAATCCTAAGACAACCGGCATTCCTACACAGGCGTCAGTGGGCAGTGCCCATATGGGTGTCCAGCGATGTGCCACACAGGGTTTGAAAACTGGACATGCGGATAAAAAAGGACACGGATGCACTAAGGATACTGTTGTTGTGACGCACGTGGTTGTCGCGACTGGGACATAAAAAAATATTTCACTGTAATCAATTTTAATTGAAAATGGATTAGCAATCAATATTATTGATGTGTTAATATATTTTTATTTATTTATTGATGTATAGACGGTATAGACGTATATGCATTACACAGAAGTTTTAGAATAGTGTAGATAAGTACATATTTTTATAAAATGTACCTTTTTTAGGATTTAAAACTAATGTTTCTCGTACTAAATTGAAAATCAAAATTTGACGATATTTTACAAATAACGAAAATTCAAAATTCTTAAAAATTAAACAATAGATATTTTTTCTATTTATTCATCAATATCTATACTCGTTCACGACTCGCTTTACGGTGAAATACTCAAACGGTACACCAGTAAAGGTTTACACCTACATGTCGCATTCCAGTCGTATTCTATTACAGGCCTGGAGGGTTTTATTTATCATTGTTATTCAATTTTTTTTTTTTTTTACGGTTTCTAGAAGGGAATCTATACGGTTTCGTAAAGTCATCGTTCAACCAAATAATTCCCGGCCGCCGTGTACTTAAACGCATTCGTGGTAGACTGTGTCTTCGTAAACTCCTGTCGACTACTGGACATAAATATACCTAACGCATAGCCCGGCGTCCCACGCCTTCCCTTAGCAACATTTTTGTAATAAATAAGTTTCGTGAACAATATAATACGTATTATATTATTGCACTCATAGATATTGTTTTTGTTGTACTACTTTTTTGTTCGACCCATCGGATCCTTATTTTCATCGCGTTTACGCCCTATGGTGTCACTGATGTTCTACAGTACATTATGTACCTATTCGTATTATGCACAATATGTAATACGTTTCATGTATTCCATACAATGAGTCGTGAAAAATGCGTTGGTAAAGTATTAAAAATACTGTTCGAATCAATGCATTCGGTTATTATTTAAATACTTCTGAGACAGGTTTGGAATGAACTTGACATTGTTGTATTTTTTATTTTATAGCGAATCAACGTACGTGGTAAAAAACCACCATTAATGATGGAAATTTTCTACGATACAGATATCAAACAATTGGTATGTGTGCATCCCATCAATTATTTTCCTATTTTTTAAAACTTTGAGTTGACCACGAGATCGTTGATGCATTAATGCTCGTGACAATTGGATCGAGAGGATACCATGTGATATATTATTTATCCGTGTATCATGGATGTTTATACGGAATGAATACAGTGACGGTGCTAGGCTGCGAGACCCTGGGAAAAATAAATGTTGGGTTTTATCATTTATATTAATAAAATGTTTTAAGTTCAGTTAAATCAGAACCGTGGGGCCTTATTTATAATTTAAGGCGTAGGGTCCTGGGTAACTACCCCTATTGCCCAGCCCCTCATGCCGTCCCTGAATGGATATATATATATGCATCATAATACTCCTTTTTCCAAGAGTAGACACGAGTGAAATACATTTTCGTGGAGGGGGCACAGGTGGAAACTGAAAAACGTATTCGACAGAGTTCGCGACGAATAAAATGCGAAACCACACATTTTTGCATTCCGCACTTCGTATGGAACCGCTTACTGTCCACGTTGTGATCATCTGTGTAACCGCTGCACCAATATAACGGTGTATGGTTTTTAATTTTTTTTTTTTCGATATCCCATTGATTTAGAGACAATTAAATATTTCGAATTCGTTCGACAATCAATCACTGATAATGATCGCTGTGCCTAAGTCGATCGCAGACCGCCTGAAAATTCGTACAAGAAAAGTCGTAAAAATAGTAGGAACGGGGTGGTCATATACCGGGAAGAGGATCGAATGGGTTTTATGTTTTCGAAAATGTTATCCACGAGCATCGCACGGGGCGTATAAATCGGTTGATGATGAGCACATGGTGCCCTTTTGTTGTTGCCGCGCGATGACGTATCGCAGTCGTTACACGTTACGTACGCGCGCGCGCCCGTCTGTTCGGCGGGCAGAACCGATTGCGGAGGGAAGGGATTTTTGCGAAAAAAAAAAAAAAAAAACCGAAAATCTCGTTCGTCTTGACGCCTCGTAATGCGACCCGCGCACCAGCAGACCGTGTAAAACGTTCGTCGGGCGTGTACGGCGCGTACGCATATTATATTGTGCCCGCGAAACGATTTATCATCGACCGTGCATTGTATATGTATTGTACATATTGCGCGTATACGCTTAAAAACAATGCGTAATGCGACTGTTGCGACGACGGAACGGTCCTCTGGGAGTTTGTGGGGAGAAACGTGCAGGACGCGCAGGACCAGCAGCAACGAATGCGTACGAATTTTTCCGACTAGAAAAAAAACAAGCGCTGATAAAAAGGGGTCATTTCTCTCTCCCCCCATATTTGTAATGTATATAATATAATACCGCGCTGCTGGTTTTAAACATCCCGAGTGCGTGTTTATAATACGATATTATACGCTCGTACGCGCCACGTGTGTACCATGTATTACTGTGTTAGTGATGCGCGACGAGGTACATATTTCGATTCGACATCCATGCGTATAATACTCGTATATTGACTCTAAATTGACAATTTGTCATCGACCCCAGTAAGTCCAAATGGGTTTTCTTCGCTATTTATGTGGGAATTCTATCGGTTCGTATATTGTTCGAATAAAAGAATAAAAGACCGGAGACTCGTTCCAATCTAAAACGATTTCAACTCGACAGCACTACATAGATAATAATTCACATTTTAAATTTATACTGGACTAGAGATACCATCGTGTAACGGGAATAAGACTGTAATAAACTGTCTAAAATTAGTGTGAATATATTTACTCTCAATAAATTAGTGGGGAACGTCTTGCTTCTATGTTACCGTATAATTGTACTTATAGGGTTAAAAACTGTGACATGTGTCGCTTCTTACATCGATGTTGATTTTTATCAAAGTGATTGCCAAATAATTTTGTCTTTTTATTTGTA